TGAGGGAAATTGTAGTTGGGCATCGTTTAACGCTACTTTTGGAGCATCGACAATAATTTGTGGGTGCACCTGAATATTGTTGTCTGTCATGAGCGATTGTCGACGACGACGTTGTCGGATCAAATTTGTATGAAAACATGCTTCTCTGTGTCTTATTTGACGTAAAAGTCTATGCTTATAATTATTTAGATAGGATCCGACAGAGTACACTAAGATATCTATTTGATGTTTGTAGTCAGTTGATGTTGGATTGTGAGTTTGTTGTTGAAGCTTATTGAATTCTTCTTGGTATAGCTGCTCATAACGATGGATGTCCTCTTCATATCGCTGTAATTCTAAGTTTAATGTCAACCGTTTTAGCTCTTGTACCATTGGGCATGCACCAATCCCGATTCCGATTCTAGAATCGGAATCGAATGGGATTGTTTGGAATTGGAATTGGTTGGAACCGGCTGGGATTGACTGGATGTAATTTGAAACTATCGTGACATAGTTAAGAACTATGTGAAACCCAGGTTATTATGGTACGGTCGGTTTCGACCGGTTAGGTTCGTTTTCCGACCATTTCCTTGCCGCCGGAAGTTCAAACGTAGGTTCCAGTCATTTCCCGACCGTTTCCTGCAAACTTCGAGCTGAAAACGGTCAGAAACTGATCGGATATTTCCTGTACAATTCCGGCCGGAATCCGGCGGCGAGGAACCTGCCGGAGCTTGCTGGAATCGGCGAAAACTGTGCCGGAATCGAGAAGAGCTGTACCGGAACAGACTCAGATTTCAACGGATCCAGTCGCCGGAATGATCGACCTGGGTATACTTGACGGAATGACATTGCATTCATTTTTAAGTTTACCAATTAATCAATGTAAGAGTAAACTTGTTAAACTCGATAGTGATCTGTCAAATAGAATTGGGGTGAAGTTAAAAGAATTGCAATTATTAATAATTGATGAAATATCAATGGTTGGCTTTACAATGTTTCAAAATGTCGATGCACGCTTGCAGCAAATCACGAGGAACAAAAATCCATTTTGTTGGTGGAATATCTGTCATAGTTCTAGGCGATTTCAATCAACTAAGACCTGTCGGTGATAAATACATATTCCACTATAACAATTCATATAATGCTTTAGTAGATAATCCATTATGATTCTAAAACTTTATACATACATTGTTGAAGAGTGTTGACGTTGAGATTGTTTACTCTACGCGAATGACGTGCATGTATTTAACGAATTGTATATCAATTGATTGGTCCTGCACAGGAGTGTCCGTTGACGGTCTCGAATCGACGATATATTCATGCCCGGTGATGAGTTTCAGCGGAACCAGGAGCAAAATACATATACCAAATTTTCTGTAATATTGTTGACAGACATGTCAAAAACAACACGTATATGAAGTTTCATAGTGCTTCACTGAAAGTTTCGTTGAAAATCTGTGTTGAAAAATAACGAAAAAGCTGAGTTAAAAACTGAAATGTTCATTTCAACAACAGAATTGAAATGGTAGTTCTGTTCATCGTCTACCGCTGGATTTAGATGTGATTTGAGCCAAGGAATATTTTTTAATACACCAGAAAAGTCAGATTTTGCTGTCCAGGCATGTGAAACACTTGTTTACGATGAATTTTTTTATCTTCCATGTAATTTACATGAAGTGTTCGTATTAGGAACACTTTTTAGCTGGACTGTTCGTATTGCGAACATGATCCCTAATACGAACATATCGACTTCTCCAATTTATACCGCTAATTACAGAGTTAATTAATAAGATAATTAGCTGATTCTTGCATCGTTCGATGCGCAAGATGCGTCTCTACTCAGAAATGTAAAAATATTTTTTTTTATGTTGAGAAATGACTGAGAAATATTCAAAATAACAGAACGTGTTCACCCTCCTGTTCGAATTAGGCACATCGCCTCTATTTGTTCACGAATTTATTGTGCTTATAAATATTATTATCGATTTGATACGTTTGAATTATTAACAATATTTTTAAGTGTATATATTTGGTTAAATTAATTAATAAAAAAGATTCATCATCGTTTTCGCATTACTCGATCTCCTCAATAATTTCATTGAAGCTTATTTCTTTTGAGGGTGTGGATGTGCGAGTCTCACATACTCACCCTCACGTCGTGTTTCTGTATTATTCACTTCAAATAATTATATATAAATGAAATATAAGAAGAAAAAAACCAATAAAAGAAGAAAAAAGAAAAGTAGTCGACGGCGGAAAATGTTATTGCCAAACAGAACTAACGCTTGACTGGTTATTTTAATTGCACTAAAATAATGACTTTTATAATACAGAGTTATACCGTAAAGTAGATAACAATATGCGAGTAAAGTTTTGTTTTTAGTCCCATTTTTCTCATAAATTTTCATGCTTTTAACTATACATTCAAATGCGTGATTCACTTGGCTTTTACCCAATTGCAAATAGCATCCAGTCATGTACATCATACATGCTGCATAATAGTCGACTTCACTGGGTAGTTGAGATTCATAATGAACTGCTGCTTTGTCGTAATTTTCAATAGCTTTTTCATAACATTTCTTATTACTGTAACACTCTCCTAATATCATAAAAGATGACTCGAGTAGTTTCTGATCTACTGATACAGATTTGATAAATTTTTCATAGTAAAAAATAGACTGATCATAATCCATTTTCACATAGTATATGGAACCAAGTAAGCGAAATACATTGGATATTTCACTAGCGTGATCGTGAGCATGTTGTAATAATGTATCTATTTCAGGATGTTTTTCTATGGTTTCGAGATATTTCTCATAAAATGTAATACTTGCGTTATAATCACGTAATTCAGAGTAATTCTGAGCTATCATTAAGTAGCACTTGGCTAGTGTACAGTAATTATCTGGTATATCAGAAAACACACGTTCGATAATAGTTACTGCTGTGAGTAAATACTCTGTTGATTTGTTGAACTCTTGTTTTTCTTTATACATGGAAGCACTGAAGTAATAACACATTATATATTGTTCTTTTACATTAAATTGATAATTTTGCTCATTGTTGATATGTTTTTCAAATATATCCATTGCTTTTTGTAAATGTTCAATAGCCGTATCAAACTTTTCCACATGTTCATAGAGAACATACATATCATAATGAGAAAAAGCAATGTTAACATCATCACTTTTCAGAACTAATAATCGAATTTCTAATGCTTTACTCACAAATTCCAGTGCGGAATCAATATCGGCAAGTATTAATCGATGACCCATATCAAACAGACACTGTGCTTGTTGGTCTTTAGAAGATATCTTGGTGTCACATAGATTATAAGCCTCGTTATAATGTTCACGAGCCCATGTGTAATCTTTGGTTTTACAGTAAATCTCACCAATACTAAAATGTCGCTCAATAATCTTCTCATAATTCGGCGGTTGAAGTTTCTTCAACAATTCTAATCGTTTTAGTTCATGTAGCAATGTAGTATCGTAGATGTTCTTAAAAAGTTTTATCTGTATGACACTTTCCTGTACCTCCGAATTCTCTTTATATACTGATTTGATTAGATCAACGTCTATAAATTCGAATGCTTTTGTCATATACGTTATTCCATTCGTTCTATCTTGTACCAAATTGTAAAAGCCACCTATCGATTGTAAACAGGTTACATATGCTCTACGTTCTTTCGAAAATGTAATATTTCTACATCTTATCTTTTCACTTTTTTGAAAATATTCTCTTGCCTTTACGTAATCTCCTTCATCTTTATAACGAATACCTATATTTTCAAAGGTTTGAGCGATTTTCTCATCATGATCATTACATTTACATACCGTGAGAGCATTTTGATAAATATCTAACGCTTTCACAAAATGATTCCGAGCAGCTTCATCAATGTCTTCTAATATACCGTAAAGACTTATTACATCACCAAATTGGCAATGATGATCTGATAGATTGGTTTTATTCTTCAAGATGTCATTCGCCTTTTCAGCATATTGTCGCATAATAATTTTATCTTGTTTCTGATAATAACAATTAGCAGCCCAAATGATCACTCTCGAAGCGTTTTCCCATCGATTAGAAGATGCATAAAGATCAAATGCTTTCGTATAATGTTGAATTGCTTGATCCCATATTTTCTCGTCTTCAAATGTCCAAGCAATAAATTCTTCGATTTTAGCAACTTTTTCATGTCCGTTTCCATAGAAATCAAAAAGACTTGTCAAATAGTTTCGACATGTATCATAAAATTCCATTTTCAATAATAATTCACTCACTAATAAGTTCATTTCCGTTTCTCCACACTTCTTGAGCAATGTTTGTATGTTGTTCATCAAAAGTTCCTCTGATTCAGCGGATAATTTAACATACCATATATCATCATTCGAGTTAGCATGAGTGGATTTCTGTCAAAACATCGAAAAAAATAGAATTTCAATATACCCAAAAAGTGAAATTTCAGGGTGAGGGTGTACCAGTATGGTATTATAACAGTTCCATCCTCAGCCTCAAGATGCTCTCTTATTCTACTGACGTCATTATTTTCAAACTATTAGCTTTTTTCAAACATCATATTTTTCGATCTCTTAACACAATACCTTATAAGTGACACTGTCAATAACGAATGCTGCTCCTAAATCAAAGAGAACTTCTTCTTCTTCAGGAAATTCACTGTAACGAGCAATATCAGCTAGTGCTGTGGTTGACTTTGTTGTGTCGACATGAATTTCTAGTATAACACGCTCGAGACCTTGCTCTATTGGTTGCCCTAGTCCAACAAATACTTCAGCCACATGTTGTGAACGACTAGTTGAAAGAAAACCATTTGTTGCTATAGTTTTACCAACATTGTGTTTCAGATTATAAATATCAGGTGGAGCCAATCTCACACCACGATATGTTACAATTGTTGACAAACTTTGCTTTAATTCATCATACTTCAATTGAAGATTGTTACATAGATCGATAATATAGAATCGAAGAGATAATAAGAGTTCATAATCTTCCGTTTTTAGAGCTTTGTTAATTAGTTTAAAAGGAAATATTGATCGTGTGTACCAATAAATAGCATCACTTGAATCATATGTTTGCTCAAATTTATTGATATCTTTTAATGATGAGCTATTTCCTCGATAATAGTTTCGGCAAAATTCTATCATTTCCCTTTTTGCACATTCTCTATCATAGTCTGTTCTGAATAATACATACTTGAACGCACGAAAGACATCAAAACCATGTGATTCACTACTTAAACCTCTTGTCGATCGTTCATATTGCTTCAATAAACTTGCCACTTCCGATTGTTTGATCACATCACAAATATTCTTTTGTACAGCTCGCAATAGTGGTTCATGTTCGGTATATATTCCAACAATCTTATAATATTTATTATCTGGTTCATTTAGATAATGTTCATATTTAACACTGTTCATACAAAATATATAAATCGAATCCACTTGTTTTAAATGATAAACTTTGTCTATCATGTCATCTGCGGTTTTACCCGATAAAATCAGAAATATTTTTTCTGTTTGAATTTGATTAATATTGTCTAAACAAGTGTCCGGATCCGAATAGGTGTAAACACAACCATTTACTTGCTGAAGTAGTTCAGCTGTTCCATTCGTATCGTCATGAACATCAATATTTTGATCACACCAGATCAGCGTTATTTCTTCTTTATTTTGATTTTTATTTGACGTGAAAAGTTCTTAAATAGACAAAAAAACCCTTTTCGTTCGTATTCAGTTTAACAGCTTATAATGACTCCATTTAGAAATGTATAGACTCACCGTGTACATCATTTTCTTCATCTCTACGATAGCAAAATGATGTTTCTGTATCCGACAATACATTTGCACTACTAGAACGATTTAATTCTTTCAATTTCTGGAAAACATCTTCTCGTTGTTGAACATATTTCCGAATTGCTTCGTTCTTATCTGTTAAAGTTTGTAGAAGATCAAGAGAAGATTTACTAATCGATGAATTTTCTTTCCAAGACGGTGCTTTTTCATCTAGTATTACTAAAAGTTCATCAATGAGTGGTAATAGTCGATGAGTATCGAGTACTTTAGCTGTTGTACACAATTGAAAACTGTGATTTAATATATGAAGTAAGTCAATAACAGGTTCATCAATTATTTTTGAGTAACGCGCCAATAATTGAGCTGCAGATTTTCCAAGTGTATTCAATAACTTTTCTGCCATGTCTTTTTTCTGTGGATCTACTCAAAACAATTGAAGAAATAAGTAACAATGTATAGTAGTGACACCTTACCTTGATAATCTAGAAAATATCTTGGATATGTTAATAATAAACATTTTTCCAATTTTCCAGTTCGCTGAAACATATTCAAATAATGATCCGAACAAAGACAATTTACAATCACATTCATAATCTGCTCATCTTGTACGTAAAGTTTTACTATGCTGGAGAAATATTCGATACCATTTATATTCTCTAAATATCGTTCATGTTTTGCAATATCATTTAAACATTGTCTCAATGATTCTACTAAATCTATTGAGTAGTAATTCATTTTACAGATAAGTTTGATAAGAGAAGGAAATAAGTAAGACGATTCAAACTGTGTGAACGAGTTCGCCACGTGCCATTTGTTTAATAAGTCTTTTAATATGAAGATGAATATCGAATAAACTTTATGGTCAATCAATTGAGCATCGATAAGAAGTTGTTTATCGTCAATTTGACTCAAAAGATCAAGTATTTCTTTTAGATCTCTCGGTGAAAATTTTGATACTTGAATAAAATCATCAAATGCTTGTTTCAATTCATGTACTTTGACTATTCGAACGTCGTCGTCCTTTACTGAAGATGATACTTTATCTCGATAATTTACTACAGGAATATCGATATCAGTACGATGTAAGTATTGTTGTTGTTGCATTGCTTACTTTATTGGAATTTTTCTACAATAAAATAATGGAATGAAAGAATAATTAATGCGTTCATGTTTTTACAGATTCTTTAGAATATCTGAAGTCATTCGATTATTTCGATGTTATTCAAGCATTTTTCAATATACAGCTATACTCTCATCTATTTTATATTCTATGAGGTGAACATGACTTGTATAGTTTTTAAGCAGAACCATATAAGAATTCGAAATGAAAGTTAAAATCAGATGAGAAAACTAACAATCTAATTCAACTCTGTTTAAAAGAATGTCGATGATAAAAAGATCGAAAAAACGGGTATCGGAACGTTATTCGAGAAAAAATCAAAGATAGAAAATTTGATAAAAAGAAGATGAACAAATTAATGTAAAAAAAGTAGGAGAAAATAAGAAAAATACGGAGTAATCGATCTATCAGTCGAATTCACATACCTATAAGAGTCGTTAAAACTATGTTATGTTGGAAAAAACCAAGCAAGTAGATATGGTTGGATGATTCTGTTATGCATAGAAGTATCTGTATACGTGTAGAAATAAATACGTGTCTTTTTTTGCTCATAGTCATCAAAAAGCAATAAAGGAAGTGAAGAATGATAATACTAGTAGTGTTTACCTTCCTAACTATCTTGAGGGTGACAGGGTGTGTGTGTGAGTACAAACTGCCACGATCGATTTCGTCTCTATTATTTAAAAGGACGCATTAAATGGCTTAATTCTTAATAATGATTAAATGAAATCACTTCTATAAAGTAAATTTGATAAAAATAATTTTCATAAAAATCAAAATCAAAGAAGTAATACTCTGTTACAAAATGTAACTCTACATATGACTATATAGAATCCCACCTATCTTGAGGATGAGGGTGAGTTTAACAAGAAAAAGAAATATTCCTAAGCTATCTATGACGCGTTTCGTCATTGCTTAAGGAACTCAATAAAAAGAAAAGAAAGAGTAGATAGTTATGTACTTTCAAAAGACAAACTATGAGTCTATTATTCTCAAAAAGAAAAGAATACTCAACTCAAACTCGAAAAAAAAGAATTAATTTTCTATTTAAATTAAATTAAAAAATAATTTCTTGTTGTTTTTGTTGTTTTTTATTGACTAGTTTCTGTCAAGTTGTTACTTGACGTCATCAGAAGAAAACACACAAGAACTTTACAAAAAACTCTTTTATAAAACAGAAAAGACATCTATCGTGGGCTTGATGAGCCACACTCGATAGCTACAAGATAAAAACTGTTGCAGTAGATGGATCGTTGACCTTTCTGGTAGTTGTTGGTGGTGGTCAACGGGTACTGCACGGTACGGTGTTTATTTGTTCTCTAAGCCAAGCCTTGAACGATCTGGTTTCTTCTTAACAAGATAATCTTGAAGATTATGTAGTCTCTTAGAACCTAATATCGGTTTCATACCACAAATGGCTGTATCTGTGAAGCAAGTGTTCCACATTTGATGGAATTGAGTCGAGAAATCCTGCATTCCTTTGCAGAAGGAAAAATGACATAAAATTGTGACTTCAATATCAATTTCAGTCCTCTTTGTTTTGTTATGTGTGATGCCGAGAAAGATTTTTCTTATATTTGAGAAATTTCCTTTGGTTGGAATTTCGCATTGAAATGTTTGAAAAACTCTTTCAATTTGTTTAAGAATAAAATCCATTGGATATTTGTTCAATAATAATGCCATACAAATATGAATTTCCTCATGTTTGAAAGCTTCATAACTTGAACAGTATCTCATAGCTCTCGTTATGGCTACAAATGGTATGTTCTTTTTTATATGCTCAGCATGTATACTTGAGAAAGGAAGGAAATATGGCTCATGTGATGGTTTATGGAATACATCTGATACCAATTGTCCTCCTCTATTTTCAAGTTTAACGTCCAAATACTCTGCAGATGTGCCAATAGATTCGGAAAGTTCGATATTAATATCGAGTCTATTCCAAAATCTTACGAGACCTTTTAATACATCTGCATGTATATTCGACATAATAAATAAATCATCGATGTATCTAAAATACAAAGATGCTGTTCTACTAGCCCATTTTGCTATCGGACGTTCGACAAAATACATGTATGCGTTAGCAATTGTCAATGTGAGTGGCGATCCCATTGCTCCGCCTCGTATTTGTTTGTAATAAATACCATCAAAATAGAAGTAGTTATTTGTCATTACAAATCTGGTGAGTGCTAGAATGATTTCTTTTTTCACACCATCGATCTGCTTTTGACCACTTGCTTCTATTAGACGTTTTATGGCTGTTACACCTCCTTCTTGAGGTATCATGGTGTATAGGTCTGTAACATCCATGGTAACGAAAGATGTGGTCATAGTTAAATTATTTGCCGACCATCTTTCAATTTCCTTTAATAATTCTACCCCATTTAATACTGTCGTATCAATTGCCAATCGATCGAATATGGGTCTTAAAAGATTATCTAACCATTTCGATATATTTATGGTTGGTGATTTCATTCCAGCCATGATTGGTCTTAGGGGTGTATTTGGTTTATGTGCTTTCGGAAGAAAATAAAGATGTGCTAGTTCAGCTTGCTCTTTACTTACTTTCAATTTTTCATATTGCTTTTGATTTATATGTTTATTACACCACAAACCATAAAGAAAATCATTCGTTTTCTCAACTAAAGATTCAAGCAGATTTGTGCAACCCAAACTATCATATGCTTTAGTTCTTTGCATNTTCACTACTTAAACCTCTTGTCGATCGTTTATATTGCTTCAATAAACTTGCCACTTGCGATTGTTTGATCACATTACAAATATTCTTTTGTACAGCTCGTAATAGTGGTTCATGTTCGGTATATATTCCAACAATCTTATAATATTTATTATCTGGTTCATTTAGATAATGTTCATATTTAACACTGTTCATACAAAATATATAAATCGAATCCACTTGCTTTAAATTATAAACTTTGTCTATCATGTCATCTACGGTTTTACCCGATAAAATCAGAAATATTTTTTCTGTTTGAATTTGATTAATATTGTCTAAACAAGTGTCCGGATCCGAATAGGTGTAAACAACCATTCACTTGCTGAAGTAGTTCAGCTGTTCCATTCGTATCGTCATGAACATTAATATTTTGATCACACCAGATCAGCGTTATTTCTTCTTTATTTTGATTTTTATTTGATGTGAAAAGTTCTTAAATAGACAAAAAACCCTTTTCGTTCGTATTCAGTTTAACAGCTTATAATGACTCCATTTAGAAATGTATAGACTCACCGTGTACATTATTTTCTTCATCTCTACGATAGCAAAATGCTGTTTCTGTATCCGACAATACATTTGCACTACTAGGACGATTTAATTCTTTCAATTTCTGGAAAACATTTTCTCGTTGTTGAACATGTTTCCGAATTGATTCGTTCTTATCCGTTAAAGTTTGTAGAAGATCAAGACAATATTTACTAATCGATGAATTTTCTTTCCAAGACGATGCTTTTTCATCTAGTATTACTAAAAGTTCATCAATGAGTGGTAATAATTGATGAGTATGGAGTACTTTAGCTGTTGTACACAATTGAAAACTATGATTTAATATATGAAGTAAGTCAATAACAGGTTCATCAATTATTTTTGAGTAACGCGACAATAATTGAGCTGCAGATTTTCCAAGTGTATTCAATAACTTTTCTGCCATGTCTTCTTTCTGTGGATCTACTCAAAATAATTGAAGAAATAAGTAACAATGTATAGTAGTGACACCTTACCTTGATAATCTAGAAAATATTTTGGATATGTTAATAATAAACATTTTTCCAATTTTTCAGTTCGTTGAAACATATTCAAATAATGATCCGAACAAAGACAATTTACAATCACATTCATAATCTGCTCGTCTTGTACGTAAAGTTTTACTATGCTGGAGAAATATTCGATACCATTTATATTCTCTAAATATCGCTCATGTTTTGCAATATCATTTAAACATTGTCTCAATGATTCTACTAAATCTATTGAGTAGTAATTCATTTTACAGATAAGTTTGATAAGAGAAGGAAATAAGTAAGANCTCTTTACTTACTTTCAATTTTTCATATTGCTTTTGATTTATATGTTTATTACACCACAAACCATAAAGAAAATCATTCGTTTTCTCAACTAAAGATTCAAGCAGATTTGTGCAACCCAAACTATCATATGCTTTAGTTCTTTGCATGTATTTCTCTGCTTTTTGTTTATAATCATCGAGGTTACCTTATAGATTAAAAGGATATGTAATCAGAAGGAAAAAAAGAATAAAAAAGATAAAAGTACTGAATGCGAGATTTGAACTCGCTGCCTTGTACATGATACACAGTTGTGCAATTCAACTATCTAGTACTCTAGAATAGTAACTGGATTTTGAAGCGAAAAGCCGAATGATATATAGTTGGGAGCAAAAACAGAATTTTTGGTGTTCTATGTACATGTCAAAATGAACATATGTGATCGATCCGTTAAGAAACGTTTCGTATTGATCTATTATGAGACTACTTAACAGATCAATGAAGTGGCAGACCGGTGGGTATATAAACTGATGTTTTTTACAATTATGGACGGAAGATCGCCCTGGCCTCGGATAAGATAGTAATGTCTAGCCTTCTTGTAAATAGAAGCCGATTTTGTATTATAAAATTTGATAATTTTATATTTATGTACATATGATTGTAATATTTTTGGTTTAGTTGAGATGAGTGATACACAATCGACGAGTAATGTGGGTGTTGGACGGGAAGGAGTGCGTGTGGACTTTCGAGCCCTGGTACCCTTCTCAGGAGGCTACTCACCGGAGCAGGTACGAGGCGGCTTGTCTGGTCCTCGTCTTGGTGGACATCCGTCCGCGATATGGCGAAAGATCACGATATACCACTCGAACCAAGATGGGTCCTACTGTCTGTACGCTTGCGAGCGGAGTGGAGAGGCAGTGTGGGTGCCTGCGGGGGACTTCTTCGTGTCAAATCGACCACGAGGGAGTCAGGCGAGTGATAGTCTAATGGACTACATTTTGTCCCACAGGAGAAGGCAGACGGTGGGACCCATCGGCTATGGTTTTCGTCACATTGGTCGTACAACCTCTGGCGAGAATGTGAACATTCGTAGACCCTTGGTGACTCATACCAGTGTGCTGAGAAGAGAAGCGGCTACTCGACTGCATCGGCACAATCCACTGGTTCGTTCAGAACCAGTTGCGGCTGGAGCCGGACGGTAGCCAGAAGAGAACGACGGGAGAGATTGAGGACCCGTCATCCTGAGGCACCACCACCAACAACAACATCAACGGTGGTGGAAGCAAATGGCAACGAGGAAGTCCAAGAAGACAACACCGAAAGAGAGGATGATGGGCCTTCGAATACGCCACAGCCAACCATCATCATATACAACAGCAATATGGGTGACAACATAGGTGGCCAGGCAACATCACAAATGGCCACCCTCAATCTCTCCGATGAGGAGTGCTGATGGAGACATGAGGCTCATCAGACCAATGTCTCATTTTAGTTAGTTCACTGGATGTGGCCCTTCAGACCCTCCAGTCCTTCTCCTCCTCTTCTTTTTAATTGTTTGAGTGGCCCATTCGGCCATCGAACAACACCAGAGGGGCTCTTCTAGCCATTTGGTGTAAACCAGTATGTTTTATTAAAATTAGTTTTGAGTTCTAGCCTGCCATTAAAAACCCTTTTTTTCTATTCTAGATTCTGATGACGTCGAGTAACAATTTGACAGAAACTAGTCAATAAATCACACCAAAATCCACGGAAAATCTTTTTAATTTTTTTTTCGACTTTGAGTCGAGTATTTTCTTCTATTTGAGAACAGACGAATAGTTAGTTTTTTCAAAATACGTAAGAGACGGTCCATGAGAAAACCGAGGATTTTGCATATATGAAAAATCACGTGGATCAACGAATTTCGGATCTGACCCCATAGGAAGTTCGGCACTATTGACCCATACATGAATCCAAAATATTATCGTCTAAAGACTTCCCTAAGAGGAGATAATAAATATCTTTTTCTGTATTTTGAATTTTTTCCATATAAATTTTCCTTTATTAAAATTGTGTCATATACCAATCGAGAGAGCTTGACTTGCTCTACAAAACTACCTATATGGCTTTTTCCAAGTATCAGAAAATCTGGGGCAAAATTTCAAAATGTGTTTTTTTTGGCATCTTCAAAAATCGCTTTATTTTCAGTATTTTGCCCATATGACCTGGTGAGAAATCGATTGCCAAAAAAAGTGATATATCATCTTGTAGCCCATTTAATTCTGCATCGAATCATGTATTGGACAATATATAAAATGTTCATTACTGGAAGAGAACAATCATAGATACTATTCCAATCGGAGCCTGATGATATTTGTAACATATTGACAGTGGTTTCTTTAGTCACATATTATCGTACTTTAGCGAGGTTGATCAGGAAAATTCTTTTAATACATACAGAATTTAAGATGTTCTTTCCGGTGGGACCATTTCGAGCACAAAAATCCGCATTTTATGAACCGTTTGGGCCCTCACCTCATGCGTAAGAGCTAACTTTTACAGTTTTTGGACCCGTATGAGGCATTTATCGAATATTATTGTTCATGTGTCGCTCGCGAAAGTGTAATATTCGTTATCAGCTCAAAAAGTTGAGTCAGGAAAAGTATTTTTTAAGTCATTTGCGAAACTTTTATTTCTCGTCAACTTTTCCCTGGGGTACCCTACAGGGAAATTTTCAAAGAAAATGAAGTTCTTCCAAAGTGTGTTTTAGGCTTAGAAAACACATTGAAACGTTCAGAAGTATTATTAAAAAGTGAAATTCTTGTTAAAAAATTAGTCAAATAGTAGTTATGAGCGATTTCATTTTTTCTGAAAATTTCCCTGTAGGGTACCCCAGGGAAAAGTTGACGAAAAATAAAAGTTTCGCAAATGACTTAAAAAATACTTTTCTTGACTCAACTTTTTGAGCTGATTACGAATATTACACTTTCGCGAGCGATACATGAACGATAATGTTCGATAACTGCTTCATATGCGTCCGAAAACCGTAAAAGTTAGCTCTTACGCATGTAGTGAGAACCTGGGCGGTTCGCAAAATGCTTAAATTTGTATTGATAATAGTCTCAACAGAAAGAACATGTTAAATTATGCATCTAGTAAAGAAATCTTGCTACTTCTCCAAGTGAAACTATAATTTTAAACGTGCGCAAGGATCACCATTGACAACGTGATGATTTGACTAGCACTTGTCTACCAGTAGACTGTTCCACTATAACTCACTTCAAAATACTGTTTCAAATATTGTTCAATACATCGTTCGATGTAGAATTAAACGACCTATAAAATGAGTGTATTGGTTTGTATTAAGTTGAGGGATACAGTGAATATATTATCAAAACATGGTTGAGTATATGTGAAAGTTGTGTGTGACAATTGAGTTTTCGGACTTTTTCGACAGTATTTCAACAGTATGAGACGACCACATATATACCATCTTGTAGAGCAAGCAATACTCTATCGATTGGTGTATAATTCAATTTGAAACAAGAAAAAAATTAAGGGAAAAAATTATAAATACAAGTATCATATAACAGTGACTTTTTGAAAAAATGATGTCAGCCGCCTATTTTCGAGTTTAGTTTTTTGCAACCGTCGAACGTTTTAGAAAAAAGTCAAATATACGAATCGATGCAGAATCGAACGGACTACAAGATAATCTAACAGAATTTTTGGCAATGAATTTCTTACTAGGTCATTTGGGCGAAATATTGAAAATTTTTGAGTTTCGGAAGGGGTGAAAATTACTGTATTTTGACTTTTTGCCCCGCTTCTTGAGACATTTGGAAAATGCCATATAGGCAGTTTTGTAGAGCGCGTCAAGCACTATCGACTGGTATGTAACTTAGTTTTTTCAGAGGAAAATTTATGCGGAAAAAATTCGAAAAACAAAAAAGTTCGATTTTGCTCATTTTTTAGGGTCATTTTTTGGGGTGAAATCGTTCGATATACCCAAACTCTCTCAAAGTAAAACTTTAGACCGTAATATTTTGGATTTAGATATGGGTCAATATTGTCTAAGTTCCCATGGGGTCAGATCCGAAATCCGTTGACCCACGTGATTTGGCAATATTTGGTTTTTTCATGGAGCGTCTCTTAATTAGTATTTAGATAATTAGCTAATTGGAACTTAGAAGAACTAACACCGGATTCGAGATCCTCGACCCCGATTACCCTTCGGTCAACCCTACTTAGTCAGAGATATAGATTGCTTTTTCGTTAGTGTAAAGTACGTGAACGGTCGAACGAACGAACTTTAGCTCAAATTCTGTGTATACCCTCCTTTCAGTAGAGGGAATATATCTTCGTTACTTTCTACGCTTTTTCCAGTTATGTAGAGCCCTGATGAGTGTTCCTTTTTTTTTATTATTTTTTCATTTTTCATTTTTCATTTTTTCAAAATAAATAACTAAAAGAACGCGAAACGCGTCGGCAAAGTTAAACTTTACATTTCTTCATTAGTAAAAGCATTTCATTTATTCGACAGATATCGATTGCTGAAAAGCAAAAGTTGAAATCCAGCAGATTATATTTATTTAAACAAAGATAAATTTAGTCTGTTTTATTCTCTTCAATTAATGCCCTGTTCTATCGATTGACAAGCTTACTCAGAGTCTCGATATGTAGCTATTAATTAGCTGAACTGAAATTTCAAACAGTTCAACTGGTAGAATAGCCGACCGGTTATCGGAAGATGTAGGTTCGAGTCCTGCTTTGACTTAATGATCTTCTTTAACAAATTGTTCGTATTTGTTAAAACATATCTCTGTGGTTTCCTTTGAATAACTTGACATCGATACAGTCGTGGACAAATGGAAAGATTTCTAATTATTGATTCTTTTATGCCTATTTTGAAACTCACCCATGTTCTACTTCTTCTATACTCTTAACAGCTCATCCATGTTGGCTTTCTTTACTCTCGAATGCTCTCGTCAATATGTAGCACCACGCCCCCGCGAATTCCATCGATACACCCTCAACAGTGTTCGTAACAAGGTAAATCAATATCTTTGTTTTGGATTCTTTGGAATTCGAAATAGATAAGCCGTTCGTAAATCGTCTTAGCGGACGTGAAACGCGTCATGGCAGCTGATCTCACACCTTTACCCACACCCTAGATAGTTGAGAATGAAACCAGATAAGTAGTCGATTTTTTGTCACTATCATGGGGAATTGCTTGTCGAAGCTTACTCTCGCACCCTCAAATCAAAAAAAGAATTTTAAATATTTATTAGATACGTTTTTATACGATCAATCAAAATTAATAATAACACTTTATCTTAAATACTTTGACATCCGAAATAAAATTTTTTAGAGTCATCAAGCTATGATAGAAATAGACAGTTGCTTTGTTCTCAAGGATTGATTCTTGGTTTACATGAAACTTCATTTAAAGATTTTAATTCGAGACTGGCTTTCATTATTGAAGCATTGATCGTCTACTGATCTTATATAAACTTTGACAGAATAATGATGTTGAGTTTCTTAGATGAATTCTGATAAAACCTTGATAAACTCTTGGTATAGTTTTATTTTGACATTCCTATGAAGATGATGAACAAGAAACGAGAGAAGTCTTCGGCGGATCCTGAAGTATCAGTCTACCATACAATCCAAAACAGGAATCTGAACAAATCCTGATCAGGGTCATATTTGACCATGATATATCTTGGAAAAAGGAAAAGACAAGGATTTAAAACAAGATCTAAACTTAAACTTGATCGGATCTTTGAATATCAGGATCCTGGCAAAACTTGACAAGATTTCTTAAAGATTTTTAAGAATTGAGACTACGATATTTACTTCAGCAGTCATGTCATTCTCACATCAGTTTCATTCGATTCTTTGAAGTGTTTATACACAGAAAAATCAATATGTCCTGAAACTCATTTACAAAATAGTTAGCATATGTTTGCGTAAACTAATATGTGAGCGCTGGCTCCTAGTTTTTATGTTTAATAACATATTCCAATTACATTTATATAAGTTTTACAAGATCCATCGGTATTGTGATTTAGTGTCAACCTAATCATTGCCTTGAACAATAGTTTCATTGGGTAATTTTGATCCACCAAGATCAATTATTTCTCCTACTTGCTTTTCATCGATTGAACAATTCACGAAATTACTATAAAGTAATGATGCATTTCTTAATAAACTATTTCGTAAATCAATATTTATGAAATTACAATATTCACACTTGATATAACTTAAATTAGCATAATACATAATTGTATCTATAAAACTAATATTCTTCAAGATAGCATAAGTCATATCAATATAAGATAGATCTGTTTGTTGAAATAACACATTACTTAGAGAGCCTTTTACAAATGATGCATTGATCATTGTTGCATTAACGAATGTACAGTTTATCATTCTTATTTGTTTAGCTTGAACATGAGACCAATCTGAATAATCGAAAGTTAATGAATGAAATATTGATAAATCAGCAGTAGTGTACGATAAATTTGTTGACTCAAATTCGCGCAACAGTGTGTGATACTGCGAACGAGAAATATTACAACCACTCAAATCAACTCGAACCAAGTTTGCTGTACGAAAATCACAATCGCAACATTGAATATTAGACATATTAGCAAATGTTAAGGTGGCATTATAGAAACTGACATCATTAAAATCAGCATGATATAACGTAGCGTTAACGAGAGAAGAAGTAGAAAATTCGGCGGACGACTCTCTCCATTTGTTGAAGCATTTTGCCTCTCGAACATAAGCAAAACTTAAATCGGCTGAATCTAACTTTGTATTGTGAAGAAATGCACAATTTAATATTGCGTACCGAATCGACGCATTCACCAAAATAGCTCTAGGCAAATAAAGATAAGACCAATCAATATAAAATAATAGTGACTGGGGACCTTGAGGATCGTGTACAGAACCGAGCATAATATTACTCAGATCAATTCCACCAATTTCTAAAAAACTTGATCTACTTTGGTCACTATTTATGTTTAGAGCGATCAATTTAGCTTCATAGAGGGAACGAATAACATAACTCTTGCGCTTAACATTCAGTTGATTTAATGTTGTATGAGATACTGATAATAAGATTGTACCATCTGATTCTTTTAAAGAGAGACCTTTCTGAACGAAAAATCCTGAAAGAAATCGATGATATTCGACAAGAATATTTTCCCATTGTTGATCTTTAGCAAGATCACGATCTTTCTGTCGATTTTCTTCTGCAATTAAGAGTTCATTTAAACGATTTTCTTCTGCTATTTGAAGTTCAGTTGCACGACTCATATTAGCTTTGTGAAGATTCTGACGATCTTGAATTATTGTATAGAGTGCAATAATGATAGGAATACATATTGTTGCAATTAATTGACACCATTCAAGACAAGTTGTGTGTTTTTTCTTGTCGGAATTTTGAAGATCAACTTTGATCATTGCATCTTCGTCTTCGTCCTTTAATTTTTTAATATTGTGTGATTCTTCCATTTGTCGAAAAGAGTTGTCTTAGTTAAATTGAAAGAATTGACTTGAATAACATATCATGTTC